GCCGGGGCGGAGAAACGCTGCTCCGCGTCTCCCTGGTCTGCAGACCAGGAAGACGCGGAGCAAAGCCGCAGAGGGGCTGGGGCTGCGGGGCAGCCCAGGCGCGCCTGGGCTGTCCCGCTGCAGGCGTGCTCCAAGGCTGATTACAGGAAGCCTGAGGCAGAGTTGCTCTGCCCCAGGCTTCCTGGAATCAGCCGCTGATCAGTTTCAGCAGCAGCTGACTTGGGGACACCTGGGTTTCTTAAGTTGAATCTGTATGTAAGTCAGAACTGGCATCCAGATTCAGCCGCGGTTGAAACTGATCAGTTTCAGCAGCAGCTGACGCCAGTTCCGACTTACATACAGATTCAACTTAAGAACAAACCTACAGTCCCTATCTTGTACGTAACCCGGGGACTGCCTGTATACAAGGTGAAACAGATAGCATAAGCCAGTTAGCATATATTCACCTTGATTGGTCCCTTAGGAAATGCTCTAACTACTTATGCTAAATTAGCTATTCAAGTTTGTATTTACCTGTGACATCCTGAGTATCTTTCCCAGACATGAGGAAGAGCTCTATATAACTCAAAAGGCTGTCTCTCTCACCAACAAAAGTTGGTCCAATAAAAAATATTACTCCCCCTACTTCATCTCTCTAATTTGTTCCCATAACAGACTTAGAGGATTTACTAATTTTAGGGAATGGTAGGAATTTAATTAGAAGTTTAAGGATTAAAACTCATTTTAAGAGTTATTCATGTAAATTCTCCATCCAACTAAGTTTTACTTTGAAATCCAGATCAAGTAAAATCAATTAAAAGTTAAAAATTCAAAACAACCCTATGTCATAGTTTTAAAATTAGATGTTTTCACATAGTTTTGCAGCTAAAACAGATCTCAGGGATAACAGCCTGTTGCATTCTGTTATGTGCATCCTAATAGGGGAAGAAGTTAAATATTTCCCCATCAACTTTTCATATGTCAAAGCCCTGTTTAAGCACAGTTTTGTGGCCATCGCCCCATATTTTGTGTTGCCCCAAATCGTTGTAGCACAAACTAAATAGTTCATTCTGAATTTAGTGAAATTCATCTTTACTTTCATAATGTTGGATGGAATTGACCTATGCTGGTGTACTTCTAGAAAGAACCCTGAGAGTGTACAAAACCCACACCACACATAAACCATACCCATCTTGTATTCTGTAAACAGCACAGCACTCTGGGATAAGACCCCTCATCATCAGAGCTTTCTTTAGACTGTCCCGGACTGTCACCCCACATCTTGCTGGAACCTGCAAAGTAAAATATAAGACATAAGTATTAGAGGAAGAGATCATAATTCACTCTCATGGTTGAGGCAAACTAATGTTCCAGTCCTTAAAAATATACAAAATGTTCAAAGCATCATAATTTTCATTTTTACAGCACTTCACAGAATCCTAAATAATAATTTCTCAAAGTACTTCGCACACTGTGGACATTACGTACGCTGCATACAAACCAGACCATTATGAATTCCAGTTGGACATCCATGCAACCTAAATTTCTAATGACATTTCAGAGAGAAAATTTGACTTGACCCTGGATGACTTTCTATCCTTCCCATTATGCAACAGAGATGGCAGATATATAGGTAGCTAAAAGCTATTTATACATATGATAATTTTGAAGCGCTTGTACTGCAATTAAGTGGAGTGCTGTGTCATTTGGAACTAAAAATAAACATGCAATAGGCTTGGATGAAATAGCTTGAACTGGACTACTTACCATAAACCTACAAAATTCATTATGATAGATACTGAGAGAAGTTACAGAAATTTTAATGGAAAATACCAACTTCATGTCTGTTCAATTTAAAAAAGAATTAATAGTGGTGGCAGGTAACACAACCGTTCTGGAGGCCCCAGCCAATATTTGTGACTACATTTTCCTATTTGTAAAAAATACTTTTCTTTCCCCTTTTTCTGGTTGACCCATATATGGCTGAAATACACTAGCTACAGTCACAAGAATCTAAGTATGTGTCTAGAAATGCTTTATTACAGTAAATTTGTGTTAAATTCCTACAACACTGTAATAACAGGATATGGGCTATATGAAGGGTTATATCCCTGAGTAACTCTTACATCAATTTGCTAATATCAGACTTCATTTTGGGACATTTCCAGGAGACAAAGCTGGTTCCATATCGTTCAACTAAACTGTATGGTGGGTTATTTTGCAGGATTAAGGCAAAATTAATATATGCTACTCCAAGGAGAGCTACAGGATCAGAGAGAAGATTAGACAAATCGGCAACAATCAGGAAGGGAAGCACTACAGGTCTTTTAGGCTACGGCTACGGCTACGGCTACACTGCACTGTTTTTCCGGAAAAAGCTACGCAAATTGCAAACTGCAATTTTTTTTTTTTAAGAGGCTTTTCTGACATTTGGCTCGTCTACACTGAGCCAAATGTTGGGAAAAAAAACCCTTTATTGGAACATTCCTTCTTCCTCATAAAACAAGATTTACAGGGATGCCGAAAGAGCACATCTGCTCTTCCAAAAATATTTTTGGAAGAATAGATGCATTCCCTGGACGTGGCAGAATTTTTCTGGGGTATCCCAGAAAAATTCTGCAGTGCAGACATAGCCTTAGAAAATTTGGTTTTCCCTTTGGGAGTAAGAAATAAAAGAGCTATTGAAAGCTTTTGTTATGCTGCTTTTATGTTTACTCAGGTTAAATAAAAGTTGAGTGTTTTTTCAAATCCAGACATAGTAGTTTTGAAGAAATCTACAGTGTCCTGGAAGCAGAGTTAGAAGAAGCAGCAGAATCACCCAATAATCATAGACAAGCATCCTGAGAGAAGACTGCGGGTTAGCGCACGAGAACCACTAGTACTGAATAAGGCACGGCCCCAAGAAAAGGCAGGTCATGACACACACCATGGCATCCATTTTAGTATTTTACTATGAACTGAGGTTCTTTGAGATGTTTGGTCCCTATCTTCATTTCACTGAGAGTTATGCACATGCACTATGCGCCCAGAGCGGAAACTTTGAAAGCAGTATTGTTCGGCACTCTGCACATGAACCCTGTGGTTTCACACAAGGCAATAAAGGAGGCAGCAAGCTACCAGCACCTCCAGTTCCTTCTCATCTCAAGAGCTGCTTAATCTACTGCAGAGGAAAACGAACCAATTTGGAGACCACACATCTTGAAGAACCTTGTTACAAATAGGTAATCTCATTTTCTTCAAGTGATACCACGGTAGTAGGGACTCTCCAACTTTTTAAAGCACAAGATCACTTTTCGAATATAAGTGCAATCCAGGAACTACCTCAAACCCAGATACTCTCGCTTCGCCTCCTTCGTGCCTCTTCTCCGAGGCCCTGCCCCTGTTCCTGCTCACTTCATTCTCCCTCTCTTTCACCAGGGAGGGGCAGAGGGAGGCTCCCAGGGAGAGGAAATTTCAAGGCAAAGGGCAGGAGGTGCGCAGCAGTGCGGAGAGGGGCAGCTGAATTGCTGTGCTTGATAACCTCTTGGCCAAACCAGTCAGGATCACCTGTCAGAGGCTCCCTGAGTGTCCACGTTGGAAGTTAGTGGGAATCTTTTCACTGTCTTCACTGACTAATAATGGCTAGGAATGTTAAAAATTGGTTAATTGACAAGTAACCTCGTGAATTCTTATCAGTTACTTGATTATTCTAGTCTTTGGGGGCAGGGCTGGCAGCAAGTGCACTCTGGCCTCATTCCTTAGGAGACCCCAGCCACTCCACGTTGCTGCCTCTGTATCAGACACAGCATCATGGGGTGCCAGGTGCGAGCTGGTCTGTGAGGGGAACCAGTTTAAAACCCAGCTCCCCTTGTGGACCTTTGCTGCTGCCTCTGATACAAAGAGGCAGTGGCACGGGGTGGCAGCATACCCTGCTAGGGGGTGATCTGAGCTCCCAGAGCCGGCACAAGCCGGAACTAAGCTAGGCTGCTGGCCAGCCTGCTAAAAAATGTACTGGCAAGTGTGGGCGGAGGAGGAGGAGAGAGGAAGGAATTGCATGTAGTCTATAGCATTAACCTATAAGCTTTTATTAATCAGTTAATTGACTACACTATCACAGCCCTAATAATGGCTCAGATTCAGTTTGTCTGGGGAAGTTTCTAAGCCCCAGGAGAGGATCCCACAGGGCTACAGGTGTTAGAATGGAGGTGAGCAGACCTGGAAAATTGATGGGCTGAATCTGAAGAGGCATGGCATGCATTCCATAAATAAAAATGTATCTGAAATGGATTAAGTGTAGTTAAGGGTAAAATCTCCCCAATGCAAAATGATGTGTAGAAATACTCTAGACCCAGGCTACTCAACACGCATGTGGTCCACGACCCGCTTGTTTGCAGCCCGAGGTGCAGTTTGGGTTCATGTGGGGCTCGCAGATGGGAGCCAAAACAAAAAAGTAGTCAATATAATGGTCTTCTGTTGATATGCATTTTAGCACTTAAATTCCTGAACTGTCATTGCTCATTAAAAGTGCTATGATATGGGTAGAAATCGGGTAAATGTTGCATTTTATTAATATCAGCAGAATTGACTTAAATGGGGCCTGCCTATTGTGTAGTCTTAACTTAATCTTTGTATTCATGCCCATCAGTGTGAAAGCTATTTGCATGTCTATGCAACCATATTTAAGCTGCAGTCCTCGACATATACTGTATCATTGTGGCCCCCTGGGCTTCCAAAATTGAGTCGCTCTGCTCTAGCCTGTGAGCGACATCTAGACTGCCCTCTCTCGCACAAAAAAATATGCAAATGAGGCAAAGTGTGGAATATCGCCATGCCTCATTTGCATAATTGAGGCTCCGTTTTTGCGCAAAAACTCCCTCTTGAGCAAGAGACATTCTTCCTGAAAAAAAGCGGAAGAACGGCTCTTGCACAAAGCCTCAAGCAAAAATGGAGCATCATTAATTATGCAAATGAGGCACAGCAATATTCCACTTTGTCTACACTGCCCTCTCTTGCACACAAAAAATATGCAAATGAGACATAGTCAAAGAGGCAGTATAAGGTCATGACTAAAGTTTTGTGTTAGAGAAGGAGACAAATATTAATTTGTGTAGTATTGCCTTATCTGTTGGAGAATAAATCATAGACTCCTAAAATTGTGGGACTGGAAGGAACCTCAAGAGGTTATTAAAACCAAACTCCTGCATTCATGGCAGGACTAAGCATCATCTAAACCATCCCTGACAGGCGTTTGTCTAACCTGCTCTTAAAAATCTCTGAAGATGGAGCATCCTCCTTAGGCAAATTATTCCAGTGATTTACCACCTTCACAAAGTTTTTCCTAACGTCCAACCTAAATCACCATTGCTGCAATTTAGGGTCCAACAGGGTAAGGAGAACAAATTTTCTCCCTCATCCTTGTAACAACCCTTTATGTACTTGAAGACTGTTATGAGGCCCACTGGTCTTCTTTTCCCCAAACTAAACAAAAACCATTTTTTCAATCTTCCCTCAAAGATTATGTTTTTAGACCCTTAATCATTTTTATTGCTTTTCTCTGGACTTTCTCCAATTTGTCCTGAAATGTGGTGCTCATAAGTAGGCCTCCGCTGGAGAATTGTGTAATCAGCACTAAAGAATTACTTCGTTTCTTGTCTACAACAGTCCTGCTAATACATCGCAGAGTGGCACTTGAATTTTATACAACAGTGCTACACAGTTCACTCATATTTAGCTTGTGATCTACTATGACTCCATATCCCTTTTTCTGCAGTACTCCTTCCTAGGTAGGCATTTCCCATTCTGTATGTGTGCAACTGATTGTTCCTTCCCATGTGGAGTACGTTCTATTTGTCCTTATTAAATTTCAACCTATTTACTTCAGACCATTTCTAGTTTGTCCAGATCATTTTGAATTTTAATCCTACCCTCCAAAGCACTTATAACCCTTCCCAGCTTGGCAGTGTCCACAAACTATGTGCTCTCTATGTACTCAATGGAACCAGACCCAGAACTGATCCCTACAGAAGCCCACTTAATATGCCTTTCCAGTATGACTATGAACCACTGGCAACTGCACTGTGCGAACAGTTTTTCAGCCACTTGTACACTCACTTATAGTAGCTCCATGGAGTGTGTAGTTCCCTAATTTGCTTGAAAGATGGTAATGTGAAACAGTATTAAAATCAGTATCAAGTCAAGGTATATCAGACCTACTGCTTCCCCCATCCACAAGACTTGTTACCTGTCAAAGGCTACGTCTACATTGCACCTCTCTTGCGCAAAAGCCTATGCAAATGAAGTGCAGATTAGCATA